ATGCAATTACGCTCTTTTCCCAAAACAATTTTAAAAATATGGGGGCATGTTTCGGACACCAGAAACATGTTTACTATATATCAAGTTCATTCTGTTTATTTTTTTGTGTTTCATGCAACAAGCATTTTCGTATATCTGTATGATGTTAACTATAAAAAAATTGTTTGCATTTTCTTTCTATCTCGTACACAGGCTTTTGACATTGCATAACGCAGTTTTATTATGAATAAATCTAAGTTTTGTTGACATTTTATAGCAACTAGCTTTTATCATGTATTTTTACAAGTGCCTAAAGATTAAAAACAATGAGAACTAGTTACTCAACCATTTTGTCTAATAATGGTTTATCTCCTGTTACAAAATATGATAAACAAGATCAACAAGGAAAGGCGGCTTTCAATGAACGCAATCTGAGTAAGATATGTAAGATCTGAGTATGAAGGCAATCTGAGTAAGATATTTGATATCATTATAGTTTTAAGACATTAATTTCTGTTTTGATGTCATTACTTATATTAAGTTATCATTTGATTTTCCTTCCACAAAAAGTCTATTACAGGATTGTATGCTTCATGTAAGACAATAACAAACTATATTTGATTTTATTTTATTCTTTTACCGATTTAAGGATACAGAGGGTGAATTACACTATAACAGTTTCAAGTCACTTAACAATACTTAACAATAAATCGTATATTTATACTGCAGCAAACATTGTGATGACCAGTCACATTGGCATGCTAACAGATACTATAAAAACAAATAATACATATTTTTACCAACATGTGGTTAAATATTAATGAATTCGGAGAAATCTAGTGCCAAAAAATCGTATAATTATAATGCAATTTGACAGCAAATAAATGGTTTTATTTTTATGTTGGAATGTAAAGTAGTACATAGAGATAGTATCTTTATGTACAAAGAAGTCAAAACGTTTTGATATTCTTAACATAATTTAACAGGACCACTTGCAGGACTGTTAAACACCACGTCAAGGTACCCGTACAAATAACTAAAAACTGAAATGAAAAAGGTTTATCAGCTTGTACATTGGTTACATTCACAGAGTAAGTTTCTCCTTCCATACATAGTATAGTGTTGGATATAAACATATCTGTACATACAATTGTACATCTTATTATGTGCGACTATATTTTGAAAATGTCTTAAAAATGAATACATTAAATCGGAACATATGAATTTTGGAAATACAATCAAACACATTCACAAGACAACATAACATTGCTGCTTCAAATTGTTTAATAAATCGCAATTTTGAAATTCATTATTTCGCAATCATGAATACATATAAAAATCTGAATACATATTTAAACTTTTCTCTTTGATTGCTGCAAACGAACTTCAAATGTTCTGTTAAACAATGCGTATCTTAAGCTGGTCACCAGTACCGTTCACAAAATAAGAAGAAAATCTATAATAACATATAAGAAAGAGCTCAAATTGTAGTCGCTTCTACATTACTTTAAGTCATATTCTTTAATGTAGTTAGGTTCTTTTGATTCATAATGTTCACTGATAAACAATTTACCCTGGTCTTCACAAATGAGGAGAGAACGTGGCATCAGCACATTTTGAACATAGAGAGGTAACAGTTCTCTTGTTCCAGGTACAATCACCCCGACTTTGTCATGTTTTAACAAATAACAAGCAGCAACATTTCCGCAGTTGGTGAATGTTAGGCCACATGGAAATTTCATCTCCTTACTTTTAATTGTAGTTTTCAGAAGTCCTGTCAGAGTAAATTCATACACCGCATTGTTCTTCCAGTCAGACACGTACATACTCACATTATCGTTACTCAGAGATACATAAAGTGGTCGATCCAATATGCTTGTATCACTGACTTGATGAAGTATATGACCTTCCTTGTCTAATACCTGGACAGCAGCAGGTTTAATAAAAGTCACTGCCATTATACCGTTTCGATGATCTATTCCACTACATCCTATTCCGACTTGCAGACTGTGACTTACAGACAATCCATTTTGTGTATTTATAAACATGATTTTGCCCTCCTCAGGTAAAGTTGTGGCAGCAGACAAGGAATTTATTGTAGTGACGTCAGCTGGCCCACTCGATGTTTTCATTGTTGATGTAATTTTACCCTCTTTATGATTAAATATATTTAAGCATACATTATCATATTCTGCGAAAAGAATTTCAGCTTCGGATATTATTGCAATTCCTGTAATATTACAACCTTTTTCTGCTTTTGAATTTATGTCGATTTTCTTTACAAAATTTGTCTTCATGTCTAGGATACTTTTTCTGTATCGTCCCGAGAATTTCTTCACTTGTCTATCAAGATTGCCAAGGCACGTGTTATGCATTTTCACATCCTTCAATTCTTTTGAAGGAGAATATTTTAAAGTGTTAATTTGACTTTTAGATGAAATTTCTTCATTTATTTCATAACATCTTTGCAGTTTCTTTAGTATTTGTTTTGATGTAACAAATAAGTTATTGATATTGTCTTTACACTGTTCTTGTTTATTTTGAAACTGTTCGATTTCATCGTTTAAAGCCTCGCATAGACACTTGAATGTTTGCTTTTAGCGATATCGCTCGCAAATATCTTTTTCGACTTCTTATAAGGGTCTTTTCTACCCCGGCAAGATAATTGTCTGACATTTCTTATTTACGAAACGTCTTGAGTTTCTCCTTCAAGATGTAACTGATCTTTATCTTCAATCCGCTTGTATCAGACTGGCATTTTATTCTTGTTTACAGAATACAAGGTTTTCCCCTAGGTGTTTCCAATTCTTATGTGTTATTCTGGAACAAGTTTCATTACCAGTTGTCATAGTCACAGGACACGTTCTGACAAGCTGAGTTAACTTTTGCAGGATTTATGTTCAAGTACCATACAATCTCCACATCCAACACTTTCGTGATCCTGACAATAAAACTTAACTATTTCGTTCTTATGAACATCACATAGTTCAGTGCATGGAGCACTTTGAGTTGACATGACAGTCGGCATTTCATCTTTGGATTTGATTACGTGATTCTTTGTTCCGGCCAGCTTTCGGTGTACCTTAATACAGGAAGAACAAATTAATTCATTACAGCTTTCACAATAACCCTCTGCTTGTACAGTATCACCGTCACCTTTGCATGGCTGACATGATCTTATAATATCTGAAGATTCTTTACGTCCCGAAACTTCCATTTTGTTTATACAAGTACCATTTTCATAAATTTGATTTCCCCTTACAAAGAAGATTTGTTAACTTACGGTATAAATACCACATCTTTACATGTTATCCTTTTTAATTATAAATTTCCGGGCACCACAGTATTAACGCAATTAGTTGTGCATACAGAATTTTAAACAACTGAAGTCTATATTTTTTGAAAATCATATAATCAGGGAAGTTAAATTTATCTAGGTTAAGTGAGTGGAGATAAATCTTCGTGTTCATTATCATGCACGTATGTTAATACATGAATCCATCGATTATTCACAATGAGTTTAAATACAATTTACTTTTGAACATCATAAAACTTTGGCTAGTGTCTGTAGATACCGTATTTTTGCTTTTTTGTACAGACTTGATTTGTAACTTAGTGATTTTAATTCTTATTAAAAGTTTGAAATAGGGGGGGGGAGGGGGTGGATCCCTTGGAAGAAATGAAAATAAAGCTAACATAAATAAATGTTGCTGTTTGTATGCTATGAAAAATATTTCAATGCCAGTATTGATTTCACGGCTATAATCCAAGAATAGATAAGCGATAATTTCGTTTAATCTTTGTATGGCTATTTATAAAATCAGTTAATCCAAGGATTTTTGTGTTGATAAGTTACAAATGACAAATTGACAATGTGTTTGGAATGACAAAAGGATTTTGTAAAATGTAAATTAATCGTTACCTATTTTATAAATATTCCAGACGTGTTACATGACATCGGCTTTGCGTTCGAAGACACAATACATTTCTTACGACAACCGGCGTACAAAAGTGTGCATAAACGTTTAAACTAGTATTTCATTATTTTTCATGTACATGAATTTCACATTTGTTGCCACTCGTCCAAGAAAAACATGAATATCACATGTGTTGCCACTCGTCCAAGAAAAATGTTCATAACTCCCCATAGACTTGCATTCTAACAAGTTTTGGAACTCGTTTACGTGTAATAAAATTTTTAGTTAGTAATTTGCATGTTATAATTCATATATCTATATATTTAATGCACTGTATTTATCGAATAACATAAGAAAATGTTTAGAAATTACAGGGCTGCGTTTCAAAGAAATAAAATATTTTATTAATTTAGCTACTGAAATTTGATATGTTAAGTTGTAAATAAGATTACAATATTGAATGAGCAGGTATATCAATTATAAATCTATTAGGCACCAATGTGATTTAAATAAACCAATTGATCTGCAACAAATTTGTTTTTGTATCTGTATGTACATCTAAACGCACCTTAAAGCAGCACGCCTCCAGATTCATGTTTATTTTCATGAAAAAAAAAATGAAAATGTACTAGTATTTTAAAGTATAATATTTGAAAAGTTACCAAAAGAAAGCAATTTAAACATTATCAATGGTACTTACAACTCTTGAAAATTACCAAAAAAAGAGGTCAAAATATGTAAAAGTAGCCCTCGCAGCGTTAGTACATATAACCCAGCAGAAATATAGCTATAAATACAGTAAAATCACTAATTATTTGCACATAACATGTCAATTATTACTTGAACCTGTAATTTCGTTACTTGTCCATCTTTTCTCTCTCTCACGGCTGGTTGAAATAAAATATTTGGCTCATCTGAAGGCAAGCAAATTTAACTTCACAACAATTATTCAAAATAATCTTACATCAAATCTATTTTTTTTGTTATATATTTTATGGAATCTGATATTTTGAACTTCAGTTTATGTTTTGCAAAGATACCTTTTCATTAATTATTGAAAACTTTTGCCTTTGTACATAGCATTTATTGAATCTTAATAACCAACTGAAACCTGGTATTATAGGCGAATTGCATAATTTTTAAGTACTTGACTTTCAATTTCTTCGGACAGATCAGGCTTAATTTAACATGATTCAATTCAATTTAAACTAGTTATACATTTTCCCTGCTGATACTTATTGTTTAATATTATCATGTTAATTGTAGAAACATTACTACACACAAACAACCGTTTGATTTATATTGTTATTGTTTTTAGAATGTTTTAAGAATGGTCACATTTCAATTTTCAATCCACGTATACAACCAAATAAATGTTAAAGATATGCAAAAAAAGGCCTTACTTCAAAAGTCATGCAGTAGAAATATGGTGCTTAATAACAAAAAATCGGCCATTCATTATATGTGACACGTTAAATATTACTTGAATCGTAAATATTTTTCGCTTTGCACATTTTCCTTCTGGTTGATTGTCTTGATCTTTTATTGGCTAACATGTAGGCATGCAAGAAAACTTTGGCATTAACCCTCCCCTCTTCTATTGCACAACCAGGAAAAACATAACGTAAACATGTGCTGATTGCGTACGTAAAGCATCATATCGAACGTTAAAGCTTCCCGCCTTTATACTTTTCCTGTCATTTTCATACATCTATTCGCAAAACAATGCTGAATATTGTGGCATTTTTTCCGAAACCAGATACATGTTATTATCGTATTAATTTTATTTATTATTGTGTTTCATGCATCAAGTATCGTCTTAAATATCCATGATATCAACTATAAATATGTGTTTGAATTTTCTTGTGATATTTTGTCTACCTCGTACACAGGCTATTTACATTGTGTAAACTCGTTTCTGCTAAATACAGCTTCGTATTGTTGAAATTAGTAGGAACTATCATGTAATTTATCAGTTAAGTTTTTAAAACAATAACTTACTTTTCTCATAATTAATCCGCTTCTTATTGATCTCCTGGGTCAAAGAAACCTGATTAAGATATTTGATACTATGATTAAATTCTAATGACCTTGAACTTGCCTTTCCGTCCACGAAAAGGTAGTCGATTACAGGATTGTTTGCTTCAGCTAAGACAATAACAAACTATATTAGACTTTAATTTATTCTCATACCGATTTTAGAATACAAAAGTGTGAATCACATAACAAGTTAAAGACGTATTAAAGTAGAAAGTAGTACAATTTGTTATCTGGAATTATTATATTATTAACTATAGATTTAGCTAACTTATAAAATAAGAATAAAAGTCGGAGAGTCACATTGGCATGTTGTCTGACATATTAAATCTACATAATACATGCATTTCATTAGTGTTGAACAATATTAAAGCAAAGCACAGAAGGCGCTGAATTTGTTTGGGTCTCAGAATGTCATAAAGGTGAAGGTTGTGAGATTATAAACCAATTTGTTTTTGTATAGTGCCACCAATGCTTTCCAGTGTTTTAACTGTGGTAAATTGGCTATAAGACTGATTGCAACACTGATATTCAATTCAATGTTTATTTGACTTAAACAATTTAAAAAAATGAGTTGCCTTAACTGGGATTTGAACTCCAGACCTCTCGATTACTGAGCGAGCGTACAAACCCCTCGGCCACGGTAAAGTTATATGTAAATATTTATGATGAATAAGTTTAAGTTTTGTTGACTTTTTATAGAAACTAGCTTTTATCATGTATTTCTTCCAGTGCCTAATGATTTAAAAAAAATGATAACTAATAACCCAACCATTTTATCTAATATTTAACGCGATGGTTATTTATCTCCTGTTACAAAGGCAATCTGAGTAAGTTATTTGACACTTTTATAGTTTAAGACATTAATTTCTGTTTTTCAGATGTCATTACTCATATTAAGACACATCATTTGACTTTCCTTTAACAAAAGTCTATTACAGGATTGTTTGCTTCAAGTAAGACAATAACAAACTATATTAAATTTTATTTTATTCTTTTACCGATTTAAGAATACGGAGGCTGAATTACACTAAAGTTTTAACTAATTAACAGTATATTTATACTGCAGCAAACAGTGTGAAGACTAGTCACATTGGCATGCTAAAGATACTTTAAAAACAAATAATACATATCTATACAAAAATGTGGTTACACATTAATGAATTCGGAGAAATCTAGTGACAAAAAAGCTATTAGAGTATAATTACAATGCTATTTTACAGCAAATAAATGGTTTTATTTTAATGTTAGAATATATAGTACTTTGACGATAGTATTTATATGTACAAAGAAGTCAAAATGTTTTGTTATTCTTAACATATTTTAACAGGACCACTTGCAGGGACTGTTAAACACCACGTCAATGTGCCCATACAAATAACTAAAAATTAAAATATGTTTTCATCTTGTACATTGGTTAC